AGCGATGGCCTCCAACCTAATGGCGATGGACTCCCAAACTAATGGCGATGGCCTTTAACCTAATAATGATGGGCCTCCAACCTGTGCAACGTGGCTCATACACAGGAGAAACGATGGAGACATTGTTGGATCTGTGGTAGCTGATTCAGGCACCAACGAGGATGATCAAGAGTTCCGGCAAGGGCCTGAGGGAACTTCGCAAGTTCTCAGATGGCCAAATGCCTCTGACCCCCTGGTCAGGTAGTTGTCCCGGCATTTTGCCTGCTGTTGCAGAAGACGAACCCTACAAGGTGGCTTTGGGACTGGGCTGATGTGGCTTTGCAGCAGGTTTGCAGACAATTGATATGACAATTGCAACTTGTTTGAGGGGTGCTGAGGTTATGTTTGAATTTAATGCATTAAATAGATACTGTGTTTCGCAGACCCTGTATCCCCTAATTCTGACAGGTGCAACACTGCAGCCGCCCAACACGCATCGTTACCTGATAGCAATGGCCTCCAACTGAATAACAATGGCCTCCAACCTACTAGCGATGGCCTCCAACCTACTACGGCCGAGACCCATTCCCAGTGGATGCAAAAGGAGCTTGGTCCCATCGGAGAAAAGCAAGCGGCAGCTTGATTCCTTTATGGAGCGTCCAAGATCAGACTATTTACTAGCATCTGCTAGCCTAATTTCCCCAATGCCGTCGTCTCCTTGTGGAGGTGCGCCATGGGGATGTAGACCTGAATCGCTTGCAGCGCCCTGGAGCACTTGAGAGCGGTGAGATGAAGGCAGTCGTTTCATCAAGAATATCGCGAATGTAGCTCCTTGAGCCCAACAAGCCAAGGCAAAATGTTCTATGCTGCGTTCTTGTTCCTACTCCAAGGTGGCTTGAAAACGAACTGGAGATGTTCAAAGGCAAGATGTTGGAGATGAGGAGCACCGAAATGGTCTGACAGTTTCATTTAAGTAGGAAGCCTGACGGGTCACGGTGGGCAAGAAGCGTGGCTTTGAATCGGGTTGGGGACTGTGTGCTTTGGCTTCTTGAGTGGCTAGGAGTGCCGCAGACACATTGAGCAAAGAGGCGTGGTTGATCAGGTGACCCTGTAAAGGTTATATAGGTGACCAAATTGTGGCACGTAGAAGTATGAACAACTGAACAACACGCACAAAGGTGTATATAAGGATACATTGCGAGAGGGATCTTCGTCTTCCGCTCCCATGCGCTCGCTCCATCATACTGAAGTCGGTTGTGACTGTCATATGCAAAATTTCCGGAGTTCCACCCCCGTGGAGTTCCACCCATGTTATTGTTCATGATTCTGGGACGCCGCGCTACACGAGGAATTGTTTTTGGATGTTTTTGACATCTGCTTGAGCCTCGCGTAGTGAAGATGACAGGTTCGTGTTTCGTGCCGAAGCCCTGCTCCCAGCCACTTGGTTCCAATTCAGATTGGGTTGCTCCAAGGTCCAAAGGCCAAATGTGACCTTGGGCTCTTGAGTGAAAATGCTTGGGCTGCTATAGCGGTAGCACTGCCAGCTCGGCGATAGGTTTGGCTGTACGCCTTTGTCAAACCAGGAGGTGGCGACTCTCTCAGCACCACTGACACCTCAACACCTGAAGAGAAGGAGCTGAAGCGGCATTTTTTTGGCTTTTCAATCTGCAGTCGCACTTGCATTGCACATTTGGATTGCAATGCTGAATGAAAAATGTTGGAGTAACCTTCTGAAGAGCTGGACAGCTTCCTGAGCATGTGTCATGGGATGGTCCATGGTTGCCAAGTCCTTACTTGGGAGGTCCTTGAATCTATAAAGCACGTCCTGCGAGAGGAGGAGTGTGACAGGCAATCGGGTGGGCTTAGCCAACGTGTGAAGCATTTGAAGCACGGGAGTAGATGATCAATAGATCTAGTGGCTAGAAGCTACTAGTAACAATGGCATCGCTACTAGTAACAAGGGCATTACTGTACTAGCAACAAGGACGCTAGTAGTATAATACAGGGCTAGTTTCGTGACATCAACTGGTCACCCGCGGTCACCAAGCGTTTGGGCTCGCCCGTGGTCTTTGGCTGTCCGTCGGTGCCAGGTCTCAGAAGGGACAGAAAGAACTGATGGAGGTCTCACGGGGGTGGTGTGAATCCTTGGCTCTTGACGTATCTTGACGTACTGTTTGACAGCTTCAATCAGGCAATCAGGTGTGCATGAGGCATGCGGAAACTTGAAATGGGCTTGGTAATGGTTGATGGCTTGAATTCTATGACCATATGCACCATATGGTGCGAATGCGGCCTCAAGGAAGTTCGCCAACTTCGTCAAGCGTTGAGGCTGGCACTTGCTTTAGACCTGGGGCATGGTGTTAAAAACAAAGCGTGGCAGTTGAATGCCGGACATACTTTGGGCCATGCTGACAAATTCAGAGAGCTTTCGCCACTTCCACGATTGAACTCGAAGCATCAGTCTAACCTGAGACTACCCTGGAATTTGCCCACACATACTGTATGCCCATGTTTTAACCTCATGTTCCAAGGTTGGAAAGTGAGGCTCGCACGCAGCTGAGTTCGAAAATGGAGGTAGTGCTTACGGTGGCTTGGCCGATCAGCACCGGTTCAATACAAGTGGTGTGGTGGGACTCCGGCAGTCCCCTTGAGCACATTGCAGTGTGACATTAGATGACAGTGGCATACAGTGTGTGCTTTCAATGCTTTTGCCATCGCCTGTTCAGTGTAGAATATTTTCTTTCCAGGCTTTCGTAATTCGCAATCTTGGCTTGACGGTGTTTCTGCGGAATTGTGATCAATGATACTATCAACAACCATGAAACTGCCCCCCGTGTGGGCGGTGTTCGTCGCGGAGCGATGTGAATAGGTCCTGAGTCACACACACACATATAATATATATATACACACATAATTACACATATATACACATAAGTCGTTCTACTTCGTACTTGCAGACATTTTGATGTAATTCGTTTAGAATGCTTGTATTCACAAAACTGCAAGCTTTCTTTTTGACACCACATCCGTTTGTGTGTGTGTGTGCCGTGTGCGTCTCTCTCTCTCTCTCGCTCGCTCGCTCTGTCTGTGCGTTTTGAAGATTTTTGAAGCATATTGCCATGTTTGAGCCTACACACAGCCCAGGAGAAAAGAGCCAACGAGTCGATCCGGTCACAGTTGGCTTCAGTTGAGAAGGACATGGAAGAAGATGCGTACCTCAAACAATTTTTTTGTGCACGGGGGTATGTACTGAGTCTAACAGGGTTGTCACTCTGATGAAAGATAGCCAAAGTGTGGGATGCTACAGCGGATCCTTTGTAAGCTGAGTTTTTGCGTATGAAGAGCGCAGCCAGCAGGAACAACCAGATGTGAGAGGTGAAGGCGGGCAGGGTGGCATCTAGATCAAACACAAATAAAAAGAGCATCAAAAAGGTAAAAAGATGATCAACAAACACATGAAAAGATGATCAAAAAATATTCCTGGATAGGCAGCCTCGTCTGCTGCTCTCCTGGCCCTGTGGTCTGCCGGTCCTCTGGTCCTCTGGTCACTGGTCCTTTGGTCCCCTGGTCCCTTGGTCCTTTGGTCCCTTGGTCCTCTGGTCCACAGGCCCTTACAGGCCCTTTGGCCCCCCTGGTCCTTTGCTCCTGGTCCGGTCCCGTGGTCTCCTGGTCCTTTGCCCTCCTGGTTCTCTGGTCTGCGGGTTTCCTATGGTTTTCTCCGTGTTCTTTCACTGATGCTTTTTGATGCCTTTGGTCCTTCCTCTTGTAGCTTATTGCCCGCAGTTTTCCTGCAAACGTACAATGCTTTTGGCTTCCGCTGCCTTAGGTCCTATTGTGCACTTTAGATGCCCTTCACTGAAAGGACGATAGGTTACATAGTTTCTCGTGATTTCTTTTGTGGTGCTGTGTTTTAACGTTTGGTTCGCTTTGGGGGGGAGGCGCTGCGCCCTCCCCCCCAACCCCCCTCCAGCACCACGAAATCTGCACTCTTGCACCCCGCCGGCCACGAAAACTAACTATGTAAAGGGTCGCCCATCGCACTTTGCAGATCACATATTGCACGTCGTCTAAGTCTCTTTGATAACTTGTGAACATATCCTTTCATTGTTTGCTCCTGTTGATCTTGAAGCAGGTGTGAAGCGCTTCCTTTTTGTCAACGTACATAGCTTCCACGCAGGGCACTTGCGGAGCCAAACCGAGCCATCTAACTTTTGAAGGCTTTCAATTCAGTGTCTTTGCTGCTTGTTCCTGATTGGCCATATGTTTGGGGGTTGCTGGAGACTTGTGCATGCCATTGTTTGGCACATTTTTGGAGTGTTGGCGTGTTAGTCCTTGTCTTTGGTCCTTTGAGGTGGCTGCTGCTGTCCCCTCCATTCTTCTATGCTCTAAACACTGTGGCAATGCCACACAGGTGGATGATAGGGCCGACCTTAGCTTCCAACACCTCTGCGCAGTGAATGTTATAACAAGGCTGCAAGTAGCCTGGTCAGATGCGTTTCTGTTGAAGGCTTTTGAGCCGATGCTCAACCCCAACCATCCTCAGTGGGCTGGAATATATATTTCTTGATTCTTTATCTATTTTTATTTTGATCCCCGTTGAATATTTTTTGATTCTATTTTTTTTTTGACCCCTTACCCGGTCAGGGTTGGGTTCACAAACCCAAATCCACATGACATCAAACGAAAGCATTGGGAATGGGAGGGTGGATGCTTTGAATCGACATGAGAGGCATGGCAGCGAAGCAGGCCCAAAAAGCAGTGAAGGAATTTGTGCAGCTGCGTTGCTTGGCTAGCAAGTCGAACGTCGCTGCAAATAATCCGACATGTCACTGTACTGATCTTTGCTTTGATGTATGCCTACTGTAACTTTGTGTTCCGGCCATTCAGCCCAGGAGAGCGTTTCCACCAAGAGATGACAGAGCAAAAGGCAGAGATTGGCAACGCCATTGGAGATTTGTCCAGGTGGAGACCTATTGAAAGACTGTTTCTTACTTCTGGATTCTTCTGGCAGATTGCTCGTGATAGATTGTTCAAGAGGCAGTTTAAGTCTGGAAGGGCCCCTGTTCGAGGTTGATTGATCGGGCCCGCTGCTGTGGACTGAGTGGAGCTTCTTGTCAGCCATGTTTCTGAAAGGTCAATGACCGAGCCGTAAGCCGGCACATATCCAAGCCAAGGAAATGGAACCTTCCAGTGAGTTGAAGGAGTCAGAGAGGCTGGTTGTGATGCCCCTGCTTTGCCAACACGCTGCTTCAACCAGTGGCAACAAGTTCATTGAAGATCCCCTATGATTCACTTTAAACTCTGCTGAGAAGTAGATGACAGTATTATATAGTATATTCCTTTGTATTCACAAATCACAGTAGCATTCACACATGAGGAGTGCCCCAAACTGAACGCAGCACTGCTCTACCCGTACCCATAAACACCAGCACGAACCAATGTCGTCGTTGAAGGCAGTCCATTGCTGCCCGCTGCAGCCAACTTGAAGTGGCCCTTAAGGAGGAGGTCGCTTCTCGAAAGAAGGCGACAACAAATGCTTCAAGCCTTGGTTTGTTTGGGAAGCCACACAGATCACACTGGTCTCTATGACAATGATGTGAAACCTCTCCATTGATGCCATGAATTCGGTAGGACACCGAGAAGCTGCACAAGTGGCTTGGCTTGTGAACGGAGAAAGTCATCAATTTCAACCCATCCATGTACAACCTATATCAACTGCTGCACACACATGAAAAACTTTGACCACGCAAGCAAGCAAGCAAGCAAAAGATCTATACAGTCTCGTATTAATCGAGACGAACAACTAAGCCAACTAAGCCGTCAACCATCGAATTTCAGAATGATATCCTGAGAAAGAGCTACTTCATTTTTACATCACTAAATTATCGGCAGATGTGGCGGATGTTAGCATCAGAGTACTGCAATCCGATTTCCTGCCCAGCTTGCTTGGCTTTGCTCAGAAGGGCGTTTAGGCGTTGGGCCAATCTAGGGGGAAGATGTGAAGAGTGCAGAGGTGGACCCTTCACCCCTGAGTGTGAGCACACCAGGGCCACACACACACACACCACAAGATCCATAAAACGCAAGAGGGGCAGTGGTCCAGGCGCTTTTGGGTGCCACTGACCTTTGGGGGATGTTTTGCGATTCTGCTGGTGGTTGAGGCTTCTGGAGGAGCACCAGCAGTGCCAAATGGAAGCCTTTCAACGCTTTGAGCGTGGCTTTACGTCCCAGCTGCAAGCTGCGATATCAGAGGCCTGGTGAGCGTGGCAGTCGTAGATATATAATTGCTGCGCGCTGTCCGTCAAGATTGAATACCAGGTTCAGCCCCAAGTTTGGTGCAGTGCTATGGTTCCCTGCAGGCGAGAGAGGCAAAACTGAAGTGTGCGGAAGAAGCGCAGCTTTGGCAACGGCACCTTGCAGAGGAGACGAAGGAGACCGGAGACAGCATGGTACTGACTCCTGACCGTAATCAGGTACTGTGCAGGTAGTGAGGCTTCTAGATATTTTTGTTGCGACCATCATCAATAGGTTTAGCAGGTGCTAAGCAACAGAGGACTCTACAAGCTATCATGGCATATGATAGCTATATGGGGACTGCAAGACAAGCCAGGCCAAAGTCAGTGAGACAAGAGTAGCAACTCAGTTGGTTCTGGAGGACAGAGAGGATACGGCAATGAAGATCCTGCTGCGATCTGAGGGCTGTGCTCAGATGGCGGTGGGAAATGCACGAAAACAGCTTGAAAGCCTGAAGTCGCAGATCATATATAATATTCTTCAGCTACCTCTTAAGAATTCTAGTGTATTTATATTATATGTTATGTTTGTGTTCATTCTTACGGGCTCCCATTCACAGAATTTCTGAGTTTATAGATCCTTTGTTTGGGACTTGATTTCTCACAGTGAGTTGCTCAAGAAAGCTGTAGAAGACCGAATGGCCAGTGTGTCTCGGCTCGGCGGAGGGTTGGGCAAGATGGGTCAATAGGTACGGCACGCTGCCGAGAGAGAGAGAGGTCAACAAATTTAATGTCAAACGGTGAAGCTTGAGTTGCAGCTTTGCCTTCAAGGTGACCTGGGTCACCACACTTGAAAGATCTTGAAAGGATCCTTCTTTTGCTTGGACGTGGTCTGTGTTTGCGAGGACCTGAAGCACTGGAAGCAGCTGTTCGCCGATCAGCAAGCGAAGATCGAAGAAGCGGCTCATGGCCATGTCTTTGGGTAGCATGAGACAGGCAAAGCAACTAGCATATGGGAGTTATCCAAAAGGTCCTTGTAAGGGTTTTTAATGTCAAGAGCCTTGGATGACATGATCGTGGGTCTCGCGAAAGTTTTTTTTCGAGTTCGCGAATGTTAATGTTTTTTTCGCGAAAGATTCGCGAAAGTATGAATTTTTATTGTATGTTCTTTGGCGAGCCTTCAGGCTTGCCCCATGCATAACCACATCCTTTTCTGACCGTCAGCAGCTTCAACTTTGGAATCCGTGTGAAGCTTCCTTCCTGTTTCATGTAGTCCACCCTATGTTATGTATGCCGTAAAAACCTCCAAAGCACAGGGATTATTTTGCGAAAGTTTCGCGAAAGTCTGGCGAAGGTTTCGGCGAATGAATCGGCTCCAGAGGAACCCCGTAGCCCATAGCAACCCCACAAACTGTATTTAGAAATCGAGTCCCTACCAGGTTAAATGGTTTCATGACATGGTGAACCCCCGCGAAAGAAAAACACAGGGTTCGCGAAAGTTTCGCGAATGTTAATGTTTTTTTCGCGAAGAATGGCCGTTTCAATAAACAAGAATATTGGACAACCACCATATGAACCTGTAAGCTTCCACGATGTACGGGGAGGTCGCTTTATCCTTTAGTCAGAACTTTTTGTTGTTTGATTGGAGACAGAGCGAGCTCTCGCAGAAGCCGACTGACGGATTCGAAAGAAACGCGAAACAACAACTGCATGGTCATAGTCATGGTCCATTCAGCGTTGTTCGATTTACCCTTTCCGAAACCGATCAGATTGCTAAGGTGGCTATATTCGAAGATATGTGTAGACTTGCAGATTGTAGAAGTCGCATTTTTATGCCTTTGCGGGTTTGTTCGCCGAAGCTGCTGTCGCAAGGATCTGGGACTCGCCAAATTTGTCGAGAAGTACACCAAGGACGGCCTGAAGCCATAGCCGCGTTTGCATCATGCACGAATGATTCACTTTGAGACAAGAACAGAAGACAATTCAGAAACGAGCTCCGATTCAGAAACTATGATTCAGACACGGGTATATTGCGATTCAGAAACTATCCGATTCAGAAACTTCGAACCCGTTGCGTCCCTAGTTTCCGAATCCGAGGCCTTCCTAGTTTCCGAATCTGCCATTCTAGCTTCCGATTCCGCCGTTGACCTTGAGACAACATGCCCAGTGTGATATGCCAAAGGGCCATTCAGACTGAATTGTCGTTCAGACAGCTCAACAAGGATCATGCAATTGTTATCAATTTTTGCTCATGAATCCAAGCAGTATGCGTTGAACGATGCCTCAGTTTGCACCTACAAACGGGTTTCAGACGCACATACACAGAAAATCACAGCAATAATTCATAATAATTCAGCGTCCTGAGCAATTTTGTTTGTTGGTTGAGCCTGCGTCGCTTTGTGGATCTCCGTGATGCACCGGTCAAGACTGGTGCGGGCTGATGCAACCCCAATCAGTGAACACAGAGCATTGGTGGCACTGGTCTTGGTGCCTTCCATGTGCGTAGTCTTTGAACAGTCAGCCAGGTTCGGTATTGCGGTTGTGAATGACAACATATACAACGTATATATATATAGTTTTCCGATCACACTGAGTGCACATGACTTTTGTACTACTGCGAAGGTCACCATAGTTTCAATGGTTTTCAACTTAATCTATATAGATTGGTTTTATTTTCAAGCGCACAATTTCTCCGTAAGATTCTTCAAAAAATCTAATATGAAAGCCAGCCGAAGGCTCTAGGGGTCCGTCAGGGGTCTGCTTTGCGTGGTTTGAGAAGGCTTTTCAAGACAGAGATATATACAGATATTATATACACAAGAGCTAAAAACCCACAGTGTTGATCTAAAGCTGCTGCTGCTGCTGCTGGTTTGCCGCTGGTGTGTGCTGTTGGACTGCCGGCATACTATATGTATATATATATAAGTTTGGCTTGTGTTCTGGAAGCAAACTAAGGGATCTCGTCTGGCAATGCCTTGTAGACTTTGATCGCAGTATGTTCTACTGCTGTTCTCTGGTGTGCTATTCTGCTGGGCAGCTGCTGTTCTGCTGCTGTCGTGCTGCTGGGCTGCTCCAACTGCTGCTGCTGCTGCTGCTGCTGGTTCTGCTGCTGGTCTGCTGGTGTGCTGCTGGTTCTGCTGCTGGTATGCTGGGCCGCTACTGTTGTGCTTGCCTCTTGTCGCTTTGGCTAGCTTTCGGTGCCCTCCCTGGCATCAAGTATGTTAGTGGAGTCAAAGAGATGCGGAAATTTTAAAGCATGGTAAATGGCGATGTTTTGGAGTGGAGTGCGGCGGGAAAACCGGCGTAAAATACAGTGTTGTTGGACGCGGAAGTTGGTGAAGCTGCGTAAACAGATCCATCACACACACATAATTATATATATATACAAGGTGTGGATGCAGGTATGGAAAAAGTGAATTACAGATATCTACAAGCAGTTCCCGGGCAAGCCGGCGGCGGAAGTTTCCTATAAGAACAATTTGACCTATAGCTCTGCGTCCGGAGTGTCCCTTCGCGCATGCCCTGCGTCATGCAAGCAGCCCACAACGGCGTACTCGCTCTGGCACTGTGCATGCAGTGGCACTGGCACGAATTCCTCTCGCTTCTTCTTTTGCTTTTCATCGGTGGTTCACAGCAACGCACCGAAGTCCAAGAGCACAGCCGATCCGTCACCGACTCACCTCACCACATCCTTTTTTCCAGTGCAAAGAGACCTGCGCGGTAGCAGCTGTCTATGCGGTTCACAACGACGGACATAGGAGCATTTCCCGGCTGTCTGCGCGGTCCACAGCGACGCACGCAGACCGATGCCTCTCGGCAAGACCACGGAACGGTTCACCCAGCACCTCCGGTAGGGGCTGGACGAGGTGGAACAACTGGCGGCGGGGGTGGTTTTCTGCCAGCAATCCAAACCACCGGGGGCTGCAGCACACCTATCGTCATAGCAACGGCAATCTCCGCGCCGCTTGTGGCATATGCAACCGACCACCGCGTGCCGCCTTGGAAACCATGATGCAGGCCCCAATGAAGTCGCAAGCCTCCTGGTTTCGCAATCGAATGCATTACGCTAGTTTAGCAGCCGCTGCGAGATCATCCCTAAAGTAATAATATAAGCTGCAAATAATGTAACTGGAAGATATGATCCAACCAGACATGAAAGTGCCATTTACATTGCGGGAACGATCCTGAAGTTGCAAAACGCAATGAAATTCAAGCGACAACTCATCCACCAGCAGCACTTGCAGTCACATTTACAGTGCGGAAACCATCCAGGAGTTGCAAAACGCAATGGAATTCCATCCACAGCACGTACACAAGAAACAGGTCAAAACTCTAGTTACAATGGAGGGACGATTCGAGCATGATCCGAGCATGACGCGAGACCGTCCCGCAACCGTCGTTCCGCAGAGCTTGCCTTACCAGGTTCGGAGCCATCTTTTGTATTGAAAAACGCAACATTTCGTGCATCCGCTATCTCTCAAAAATGCACTTTGTACGAGACTTTTTCCAAAATGCACGTTGAAGAGTGGAGCTAGAGCTAACTAGAGCGAGATCCACCTCGAGCTAAAGCAAGCCAGAGCTAGAGCTAACTGGAGTTAGAGCCAACTAAAGCTAAAGCTGACTGGAGCTAAAACTGGCTAGATAGAGCTACCTGGAGCCAGAGAGCTGACTGGAACTAGAGCTAACTAGAGCTAGAGCTGTTGAAAGTCCGTAACACGGACGTTTTGCACCCTAAACTTCCTTTGATCGTGATCTATATAGATGCAGAGAGTCGAAGAAAACCCTTCAGCCACCTTCTGGGTTGGTGCCCTTTGGACCCCTTTGGCACTAAAAAGGGCACCTCCAAAAAGCAGGCTCTGGCGATAAGACCCTTGACAAAGCAGAACACTGCAGATTCAACTTCGAGCATTTTAAAATCAATCAATCTTGCAAGCCGCTGCTTGAGATAGATTGTCGATGCACGTGTTGAAGCGGCCCATCGCATTCATGAAAAAAACAACCCCATTGATTGAATTTTGGGAGCATACCGGTTGAAAACTCTCCTACAAGTCTAGTCGGCCCTTGAATGTTGAATGCAGGTTCGTGACCACATCCACACAAAGCGTTCTCATGTGCCTGAACTTCAATCAAGTGCGCAATGTGTTTTTCCAACGTCACTCAAAAACTTAACGTTTTTGCAGTTTTCGCGTTTTTACGCCGGTGCTTACAAATCTCCTGAAGCAGACGACACGAAAAACCATTGCGCAGTATTGAGAGACACTGTGAATTACAGAGGTCTAGATGCAGAGAGTCGAACAAACCCTTAAGCCGCATTTCTGGGTTGGTGCCCCATGCACTGAAGGCCGTCTCGGGGCAAAAAAGGCACCTTGGAAGAGCGGGTTCTAACGATAAGACAGTGGACAAAGCAGGGCATGGCAGATGCATCTCACAACGTTTGAAATCAATTTCGCGAAGGAAATTGGTATATAAGTGTGCGCCCCATGCCTGGCACAAGCTGCAACCCTTTAGACGCTGAAATCGCTGCTTGGGGCTGCTTGAGTCGAAAAATCACATTGCCCTAAGCATGTGCCAGGGCTGGCTTTCATCCCCCGACTTCTCAGGTGTGTTGCAGTTAATCCCCTAGAACTTTTGAAACCATGTAAATTCTGCGCGGCTGGTCGGCCCTGTGCTTTGTCAAGACGAAGTGCTTCATCAAGTCAAATCGACATGGGGTTCTGGTGCACCGAGCCACTGGGTGCAGGATTTGTCTGAGTTGCGTGAGGAGATTAAAGAGGCGCTGGTACCTGAAAGAATTTGAACGTATGCAAGTGCACGCAGATGCAGAATGAGACCGCAAAGGCAAACCAAACTGCCCCAGTTCCCTGCTTGCTTTAAACAAGATCAGATTGGTCATTTTGACAAAGCTTAAACTTGGTCGATCACGGTTACATGTGACAACCTTTCCTTGCTATCCACTACGGGTCCCTCGGGCCAGACGTTGCTGTAGGTCTGCTGGAATCTGTCGCAGCCTGCTGAAGGCCGAGAGCAATCAACGGTGGAAGAAAAGAAGCTACTAGGGGCTCCTGGCATCGCTACTAGGAGCGATCGGACGCTACTAGGGGCTCCTGACCGTACTACTAGGAGCAATGTTCGCTACTAGTAACAAGAAGCTACTTTGCACAAGCAGGGTCACTCTCCCCGACCTGAAAGACTAAGTCTGCCAATGGCCAAGTTGCCCTCCTTCCTGACAAGCTCATCCCCCATCAGCACCATGATATTCCTGATGTTCCTGGAGGTATGACATCCGTGGAGATTGAGGAGCTCCGCACCCTAATGGCAACAGAACGGGTGGCGCGTGAGCAAGATGTTGATCGCTGCATGGGCAGCATCCAAGACTTGTTCGAGGAGAGAGCCTCTTGCATGAACATCAGAAGCATGGCAAATTTAGTCGACACATTTGGATACATTTGGATACATTTGGTCATCTATTGACTGATCTTGCTGGCAAGTACTAAAGAACGATAAGCATGATTGAGGAGGACTGAGGAGGCAGGTGCAGACACACCCATCGCATGAGAGGAGCAGAAAAGACGTGGTCATGAAATTCAAGCTTTGGAGCAACGTTTGAAGGAGAGTGAGGCTTGGGCTGTTGTGGGAATTTGAGCTTGATGTTCCCAGCGAGTTTGATTGCTTCAGCCTAAAGAGCTGAGACGCATGCATTTTGTTGCATGCCCGATGCACAATCGCCACGCTACTAACAACAGATCCAGGGAATGTTACAGCTCAAGTGGTGAATCAATGAGATTGATTCTCTCCCTCTCTCTTTCTCTCCATATATATATATATAGTTTGAGAATGGATGGTGTATTGACAGGTGTTCAGCGCTTGGTACTTTTCTCCAGGTTGCTCTCAAATCATCTCCGACTTCCTCCACAGTCAGCAGCAGAGGCTCCCTGGATCGATATAGCCGGTCGCCGCACCACCGCACCGCATCGCGCCCCTGCACATCCCCAGGTTCTGGTTTTGAACCAGCGACTGCCGGTCATGATCCTCCACAGACGCATTCTGCATCTTGATACGAAGATGACCTGTTCTAAGCAGGTCAGTGGCTTGATTTGCGTCAAGTTCTCGTGGAAGCGAACAGGACAGCGGGTTCCTTCAATTCGCCAAAGCAATGTCACAACCATTTGGTCAGCCATCATGTGGCAGATTCTTTTATTATCTTAGATTCATTGGACTTACAGGTGATCAGGTAGTTGAAAGAACCACACAGTAAGAACCAGTACCTGTTGCACGCCTGCCACATGACGGGAGGCCAGATTTTTCGAACGGCAGTCATTCTTTATGACTCGCCATTGTCAGGTGCTCTGCCGACAAGCAGTTGCCATTGACTTGTTTATCAATCTGCCTTCATCGCAAACTTGTCAACTTTGTCCAGCCTGGGACAGTTTCACCTGGTTTTGGCAGCTCTTGACTGCCGGCTTGCCGGGCGGCCTGCCGATTGTCTTGAAAGAAACACTGGACGTATTCTCATAGTTCTTCACTCACAGCAATGGCTCACAGCTCTAGAACCACGACAGGCGGCTGTGTCGTAATTCTCGCGGCCTCCGATTGCCATGTGAGCCGAAGCCCTGAGATGGCGTCGCACCTGCACCCCCATACAGCCCAACGCCGAAGGCGTTGGAGGCAGGGCGGCTCTCACTAGCACCAGCTGTGGATCAACTGCGTGTGACATGTGTGACTTCTCCCAGCTTCGTTACGGAACCCCTTTTTCCGACGCGTTCTGCACGCAGCTGGTCTGGTGGCGGACACTCCCAGTCGCATTGCTAAGCTAATGACAGTTTGGCAGTAGACTGACGCACTGTCTCGGGGGGAGGTTCAAGGTGCTGAGGGAACCGGAGAGAAAAGTACAGAAATGAAATGTCATTGGTCGGAGATTTTGTGAGGGAGACACTTTGAGTTGGCCCACTAAGTTCCTAGGAGTTAAGTTGGCAGAGGCTTTTCCAAATTGAGAAGTGCTCCATTTCAATGGTCTTTGTTTCGCATTTGGCTATTCCAATTTCTGCAAACTGACCAAATGCAGAGCCGTCCAAATCAGGTTTCTTAGATGCTTGCTTTATGCTGCCAGCATGTTCGTCACGCGTTCATATATAATCTATTTTAATTTCATTTTTGGATAATTTTGGTTGTCCATAGTCTAGTTGTGCAACATCATCACACGATGAGAACATTACATGCGGGTAGTGCCATGGTCAGGTTAATGTGGGCCTCTTATTAATAAACCCCCCCCCTGAAAAGTAGAGCCTACCTGTACAGGGTTCCACTCCAACAGCCGATATAGTGTGTCCATGCTTGACTGCTTCAAGGCTCAAAGAGCAAGAGGATAAGACTCTGCGCATAAAAGACACTAGCGGTCTGCACCTCTACCGTGTACGCCCTAGTCACTCTTTCACCCCCTCCCCCCTTGATCAAGTGTGGGCCCCAAATAATGTGAAATCCAGAAAAATTCCAGAAAATCTTGATTTGAGTTGGAAATAAAAGGAACGGAAAGGAGATTGAAGGAAAGGAAAAGAAATGAAAGGAAAATGAAAGGAAAGGAAAGGAAATTGAAAGGACAATGAAAGGAAAGGAAAGGACATTGAAAGAACAATGAAAGGAGTGGGAAAGAAATGAAAGGCACATGAAAGGAAAGGACAGGAAATTGAAAGGACAATGAAAGGAAAGGAAAGGAAATCACGAAAAGAACCAGCCAGGGATTGTTTAGTATTATTTGATATTATTTGAGGCCTGGAGTAATTGAAGGTTTGGGCTGCTCGTGGGGGGTGGTCTTTGTGGGTTGATTTCAGGTTGCAAATTGCAATGCCCAAATAAGGAATTTTAAAAGAAACATGCAGCAGCCAAATCAGACATCCAGAAAGGATTGCCTTCAATAATGCTCAAGCTGTTCAACCAAAAGGACATCCAAATAAAGGAATTGTAAAGGAAACCGCCAAAAGAACCAGCCAGGGATTGTTTAGTATTATTTGAGGTCTGGAGTA